TAATTACTAATTACGTCGTGCGACGACCTAGAGATACCGTATCGCCACTACCAGCTAGGATGGGCAATTACAACAACAGATACCGTATACGTTAGATTTTCCATGCAGAATTACGCAGAGTAATGGGAACTTGCGGTGCATCCGAAAAAAGGATCACAGGTGGTTCCCAAGCAGGTACACTGCAAAAAATATTCGAGATCATGATCGGTAAAACTCGAGATGATCACTGACGGGCAGACAGCAGTGGCACTCTGAAACCTGGCAAAAACATTATGACCCTTTCCATATATGAAGAAGACGGACTGTGGCTCGGCTTCTTGCATTACTTTCGGTAGGTAATTATCTTCATTACCATAAGGTTGCTCTCAAATTTACATAAACAAAATATTTCACGATTTTAGGTTTCCACGTTGTCTTCGAAATTTATTCTAAAACTTAGTGACTGCATTTTAATTACCGCGTAAATTACTTGAGCTTCACACGCCTGAATTCCTAAGAAGCTTTTCGAATACCACTCAGGCTTTATATTTTGTATTAAGGAATGTAATAACGTTGAAATATTGGAATATTTGCCCTCATTTAATTTATTTTTTACGTCGGTAAAAAAATTTTTAACAGGACGTCATGTGAGACTCAGAGCAATTGGCAGGCTCTTGACCGCGGTTGTGCCTTCCATAGGACGTCATGCAAGTGAAAGTCGGAGCAATTGGCAGGCTCTTGGTCGTGGTTGTGCCATCCATAGGACGTCATGTGAGACTCAGGACAATTGGCAGGCTCTTGGTCGTGGTTGTGCCATCCATAGGACGTCATGTGAGACTCAGGACAATTGGCAGGCTCTTGGTCGTGGTTGCGCCATCCATAGGACGTCATGTGAGACTCAGGACAATCTGGTGAAAGTATCCGTGTCTCGCGGGCCAAAGAAAACACTCTAAGAAAGAAAGCTGAGCCCAGGGCTAATTTGTGGATATTGACCTTGCGGTGTTGATGTAAAGCATACCTCAAGCCGCATTTACGCAAAAATTGTGATGCATAAAAATTTCGAAATCGATCCGCAACTGAACAAAGAGTTGGGCATTGTATGTAGCGACAGATGCGAGTATAGTTAAAGCTAGCTAGGGTGTCATATGATATTAGATACTTTTTTCGGATAGTTTATATGCGAGTATCTTCCGGACTCTTTTTTATTGTTTTAATAAAATAATATGATCAGGGCATAAAATTTTTAAATTGCGTCCACCAGACACTAAAGAGTGATATGTTTATAAAGAGATCTTCTTGAACATTTTCAGTAAAGTATTATTTAATAGTAAACTTTATATCTACTTAGTTGAGATTGGTAACTTGGCATGAACGGTATCTGTACCTGTATGTAACAGAACAGTAAATCTTGGTCACTATAGTAAACCATCGAATCAAAATTGAGTTCCTTATAAAAAATTTGAGCAAACTTTAGCAATGAGTACATTATTTCAATTTGCAAAGCGATAGTATATGTTATGCATTATCGATGAAATCACACTTGCTGATGCCAGATTTTACAGCTTTATACATAAATGTTTAACAAAACAACTGAGCAAACTAAAGAGCAGCCAATAACGTACGTTTGTGTGCCTTCACATTGCAAAGATTATTCTATGTTTCAGAATAACTGACTCTATTTTTGCATTAGTAGAAATATTTTCTGTACATTCTGCTCAAAAAATTTCATAGCGAAATCAGTCTAATATGTCTCTGAAAAAAACCAAGCATATTAAATGCTTCCAGCTAGTATATTAACTATAATGTGCGCAGCTTGATATTGATTATGTGTATTATTATTGAAGCGCGATATTCGTACACAAAACTATATGGAATAATTCCTTTTTACCTGCGTTGAGATATTCATGATTCATGGAACATCAATGGCACATTATTGAATACATACGATGAATGCATTTTGAGGTGTCATGAATTTTCTCAGTTCAACTACTATTGAAACTCGTCCATCTAAACATCTTATTCTGTAGTTTCTCACATTTTTCCTGGGTATACCGTCCATCACTAAACGAATTTCGTCATTATGGTGTTACATGATATTCAAGGGGACGCTCAAGCTCTATAGTTACAGGTTCGTTAGTTACTCTACTTCATTAACAAAATTTATTACAATAAATACTGGTAGGATATGAAAAGCATTAATGTTACGAAAGAAATCCTTCACATATATTCAACATAAATATTAACAATAGTAAACAATACGCACGTAATGGTATCAGAGATTCTTAATGTGAAGGGTAAGACAAACCGAGCTTTACCTCAATAATTTGGTAAGTCTAGCCACTATATCCGAGGCTGTCTTACGTGACTAATGTTTGTGCGAATATTGTGTATATTTATACGCGTGTGTTTCGTCATAAGGGAATTAGTTTTAATAAATGTTTCGACTTCGCCAGAAACCGTTGGCAAGTACCTAACTCCACTGAGATTTAATTTCTATTGATGCTATTTTTGAATACAATGCGCCTCTATACATAATATAAATCACTTCTCCTGTTCAGTTTGTGTACTTACATACATTAAAATACGATTTTTCAAGTGTACGAATATTTATTTCCCCCACTGTATATATAGTATCTCACATTTTTCCTGGACATATCGTCCACCACTAAACGAATTGCATCCTTATGCTGTTACTTGATATTCAAGGGGACGCTCAAGCGCTATATTTACAGGTTCGTTAGTTACTCTACTTCATTAACAATAGTTATTGCTCTACTTCATTAACAAAATTTATTACAATAAATGCTGGTAGGATGTGAAAAGCATTAATGTTGCGAAAGAAAATCCTCCACATATATTCAACATAAATACTAACAATAGTAAACAAAACGCACGTAATGTTATCAGCGATTCTTAATGTGAAGGGTTTTCTCATATGTACTTGATATAAAATTTTAGATTCGTCCTATTAATTCTCTATATATCACGCGTAGCATACATATATATATATATATATATATATATATGGCGTTGCGATTAGCATATAGGCCGTCATTGTACGATGACAGCTTTACTAGTAAGACAAACCGAGCTTTACGTCAATAATTTGGTAAGTCTAGCCACTATATCCGAGCTAGGCTGTCTTACGTGATTATGTTTATACAATTATTGTGTATGTATGTATGTTTTATGTTTCGTCATAAGGTGTTTAGTTTTAATAAGTGTTTCAACTTCGCCAGAAACCGTTGGCAAGTCCCTTAAATTATTCTACCCAAAGAGCAGAGTACGAAATTTTTCACACTTAAATGAGATAATTGGTAAATTTTTAATCGAAATTTCGTTGGCCATCAATATTTTGAAAATATTCTTCCAGACTCCGCGGAGTTTTAGATGAAGTGGGAATAATTTTTTTTAGTATACCCGCAGTCAAAAAGTTATCCTCGTAGTTATTCGAGAAATGACGAAGGGGTTGACAGAAATTACTAATATTTAGTCAACTCATTTCAATTTTCATTCGTTTTGCGGTTGCTAGTATAAGAAATACTGGAATTAACGGCAGATTCTGTCTGGGAAACGAAACGCTGCTAGACTGATATCTTCTTAATTATTATTCTATTCTGCTTCGTCCATGAACTGTCAGATGGTTAATTGGTTTTAAATTATCATTTAATCTCGTCTTGTCCCAACATACACGCCGCATACGTATCGCTCAAGTATACCCTAATGTCCTCCGAATTAAATTCTTCTATTAATATTTTTTATTCGGAATTTCGTCTGGGCTGATCGCAACGATCATTATGATCACGCCCACAACAATAGCACGGGGCTAGTGTTGAAGTGCTCCATGTTATTTAATTGAAAACATGTGTATCAAATTTTTTACTTACAAGTTATTAATTTTTTATTTTCTCAACGCTGCCGAGAGTCTTGAACCTGCGTAAAGAATAAAATATATGAAATTAATCGTTACTCGCGACCTGTCCAGTATTGAACATTGATTATTTTCACATCATTAGAATTTAAAATGAAAAAACTCAAATTCTGAACATTTGACGTGTCAAATGTTTCAGCCTTATACACTTTCCAATTGTTTCAGCCGTTGCCTGTATAAACTAACTTTAACAACGGTGGTTTACAGTCAAGGTTCGCTTGTTTGGTTCCGAGAGATGTTAAAATTTTCAAGCAAAAAGATTGATGGTTACTTAAACAAAGTTGGCGTGTACGACTTAGCCCATCAAGTGGATCAATTACGACGCCGTGATGCACGTGTTTCTGGCAGGGCAGGTGCTGCTGCTGCCTTGATTAGTGCAAGGGAACCGCGGCCGCTCCGCCTCGCCCCGCCCACAACACGTGTCGCCCCGCCCTACGCGGGTTCAGGCCTCTTCTTACATGTATATTGCAGCCAGATCCGATTTTGTATCAAAAATATGACTTTCAATAGTACTAATTTAAACTCAGTTTAAATGCTCACTGGTATTTTGATATCTGAGGGAAATGAAAAATGCTCTGTCATTTTGATATCCAAGGGAAATGATCATTTGCTTATAATAATTTAATTTTTTGCTTGAGCATTCTCAATGCTCCACAATAAATTTCTACATATCGTTTTCAAATGAATAATTTATTCGAAGGCGAATCGATTTCGAATCGGAAAAATTCCAAACTGCTCGTACCAGCTTTGGTAATGATTTTTAAATCTCATTACAGTAAAATCCCTTCGTTAAACCTAGTAAAAATTTGTCCCACTTGAGATCAAATGAAAATTAGGAAATCCTATTCAGTATTGTATTCAGTCGAATCATATATGCCAGGATACATTTAGATTAGTTTCACCCTGAGCAACGTGGGCAACCGCATGGCACACGCAGATACTCCGCCTTCTGCTATCATGTGACTTGCACTGAACCAAGTCGTGTTTAACTCTGCAAGCCACTCCACGCGTGGGGATGCCAACTAGTGTTTTTGAAGAGCCTGCTCAAATATGTAGGAAAGAATGCACGCTACAGGTGTCAGAAGTGGGTTCACTGCACTCGCGTGCACTTGTCCATTCCTCCACCGGCTGCCTTCCGCACAGCATCTCCACTTGTAACTCGCTCGTGTACTTCTGTGATCAACTCTGAACTTGCCTATGTGATCAGAGGAAACATTTTGTGTGAATAAAGTGTATTATTACTGATCAAATTGATCAGCAAGTATTAAATTTGAAGTTGTGGTATAAACTCAACAATGAAGCCAAATGGGTGGCAAGAAAGCAGTGGAGAAAATATGGATTCAAAACAATTGAAACGACAGAGAAGGGTGAGTTTCAGTTATGTTTTAGGATATGAGTTAGTGAATTTTCAGCTGAAATAAATTTTTCAAAGTAATTTATTGTGTTAATTGGGGAATTTATTAAAATGTGAACGAATTGCTGTCGAGTCACTGAAATATTTGAATAATATTTTCTAACTCTGCTCTTAAATTAAATTAAAATTGAACTTTATCAAAGATTATCATATTGATCGATTTACGTCATTCACAATTTTAATGATTGAAAATACAATTTTCAATTTTCAAAGACAACACAAAATTTTCAATACTTCTCATCAAAGTCCTTCCGTGACACGTTATGTCATACCGTACAAATCTTCCACTGTATAATATAAAACTTAATTGAGAAGATATATGTCTCACCCAATATTCGCTTACCAAAGAGTCATGCCGTGCACTTGAACTATAACAAATAAATGTCAATTTTTGCGTTATGTTTCAGTGCAAATTTGGTTTCAAGACACACATCATGGCATGCATGAGCATTATTATTATGTAACATATCAGCGCGTCTATACTGTATAATTGTGCTCTGAAGGCGAGGCGCGTGCCTTGACGAGTGGCGGCATGCTTGTCCTCGTGCAAGACCAAAAACTTGGTCATAAAGATCATGATATGGCTTTGTATTTGTGTACGTATGAATGTGATCGAAAACATATCTTGTCGCGTTTTGAAGATGGTATCTCGAAGATAACTATTTCATAACAGGTTCAGTTCATCCTCAAACCATTTACCTTTTGCCTTTTTTTCTCGTAATTTGATGCAGATATAAATGGGTTAAAAAGCAACATGAGGCACAAAAATTGATTACGTAATTTTCGTTTGGCATTTGTGATTTTCGTTTGGCGTCACACTAATATTAAGAATTGCAATTAATCCAGCCTTTCATTTGTGATCAGTTCGTGTATATTGTAAACAGATTAAAAAGAAAAATATTATTTGATCTTACAGAGTAACAAACCAGCGATGGAGCGACGAAGACGGGAAAGAATCAACGGATGTCTGGAACAGCTGAAAAACCACGTGCTCGTTGCCGAAGGCAAAGACGTAAGTTTATGCTAGTGGCAATGCTTTATTAATAGCAACCTATCTATTCAACGCATATTTGTTCTTGAATTTCTTCATCTATTCTTTAATATCTTTACAGAAACTATAATTTATATTATTGATATTTTTATAATCAACTCGAATCATATTTGTAATGAGCGATTAATAGTTTGTGTATTTTTTGTGCAGCCAGCCCGATATACCAAGGTGGAAAAAGCTGATATTCTGGAAATGACGGTACGGTTTCTGACGGGGAGCAACCGTAGAAACGGCAACCCGCGAAATACGCCAGGCTCTTCCAAGGAGTACGAGAGCGGCTACGAGGCTTGTATGAACAACATCAGACAAATGCTCAGCTCCAATGAGACGATCCTTCCTGAAACTAGAGAGAGCATATTGAAGTGTCTTCAAGTAAATCCTGCTAATAAAAACACAGGTGAACCCACCACCCATGACACCTGCTGCTCGACTAGCCCTGCCAACTGCATCACCATTCACAGCAGATTGCCGGGTGGGGTACATCGAGCAAAACTTGCCATAAAATGCTCCTCTCGTGCACACCAGCAAACAGTATATATTCCACCCAGTAATACTTGGTCACCTCCTGTTGATGCCTCACCAAACATGGTTGGTCTTTGCTCACCGCCATCAACCCCAGAATCTTTCAGGGCTCAAAGCCCTGCTTCGTTTAACTCCAGCCTTGTGTCCACAGTGCTACAGCCTCACGATCCAAATACTGGCAAAGTTTCAAAAAATTTCGCAAATAGAAACTATTCTGTAATACCTTTAGAAAACGTCCGAAATAACAATCCCAACCCATCCAAACAATATCCCATGATCATCTACTCAGCAGGAGAAACAATTCGCTCGCCATCCCCTCTATCAGACGACCTTAAAATTCGATTGACCGATCCTTGCGCTGTTACAAATAACATTTTGACTTCTTACCAACCGACAAGCTTTTACCCGGAACCTCAATCGGTCCCATTGAATTTGAGTGCCCCGAAACCTAAGATCAAGAAGGAAGAGGAAGTGGTCGCTCGCCCTCAATACTTTGAGCGAAACTCAGCCGAGCGCGACGGCACACTTGTAGGTCCCGTGCTGCTGTCTCAGCAGGAGCTTCACATGATGGAAACCGGGGAGCACTGGAGACCCTGGTTCAATTAGACTTTTTCAGAGGTCCTTCGTTTATTGTATTAAACATTTTTCTTCTTCAGGCACTATTAAGATTTTTATTACACATAGTAGGACTTTTTTGTATGCGATTAATTTGAAATGACAGAAGAGTCAACCAACCAAATATTTAGTCGTTTTAGAAGTAATTCTCGAGTCCTGCTGTCTTGTCAACTAAAGTAGGACATCTTTCATATATAAGCTATGATCTAAGATCTCCTGAAACAGACGAGCATTACTAAAGTAGAGCGTCATGTTTTTAGTCAATATTTTTCCAATTTATTCAATGGCAAGCATTATGAGCTAATTATGTGAAGCACAATTCAGTTCAATTCGTAACTGAATCTTGGCATCCGACTTAGTCTAAATGAAAGTTAGTCGATATTGGCATTTTAGACCGTTACGTCATCTTAATGGTTTTAGGGTTCTGCTCAATTAACTTTTTACGCGATTAAGATGGACAGGAACTTTAAAAATAATTTAAGATGGACAAAAATTTTGAAAATAAAGTAATTAAGATGGACAAAAATTTTGATAATAATAGATATTCTTTATCAAATATTCATTTTCTATAACTAATGTTGTCTTTAGATTAGCGTAAGGAATAAATATGATCTCTTAAATTACACTTGTGAACAGTATTGAACGAAAAAAAATGACCTTATAGGAGGTAGAGTTCGTTTAGCCGCAGCATATCATAAATAATGAATCTAATTGCTGCACTAATATTAAAGCCATTGAGACACTAGTCTAAGTTGTTATTTCTCTAGTTTGTAAAATCCCTTCTAGAGTCTGTCTGGTAATGCACATTGCTTACAATCACAAGATTACTAGACTTTGTGATTTATAAATTCTTGCCAGTTATATTGCTTCCCTATCGCCTATTTGTATGTCAATTCTGGTATGAATATATGTATATGTCAAAAATATAACTCAGTACTCACTGCAGTGAGTGACAGAGAGCGCATTTTCTCGTCGACGAAAACTTGAGGTCACGGACGGACGGACAGACGGACGGACGGATGGACAGAAGGACGGAAAGACAGACAGACGGACATGGCGAGCACAATAGTGCATTTTTTCCATAAATGAGAAAATGCGCTAAAAATAGACGAATTACCACTCTGAGGCGATGGTTGACTTTGGCACAGCAGGAAACCTGACGTTTAGTGTGGCATTGCGTATGATTTTTATGTCAGGTTCTGGCTAACAATTGAATGTAATTTTATTATTGTACGTGTTCAGTCTCTTGGCCTAGTACAAATTACGTTAATGTTTATCATTAAACTTGAATGCCAGAAAAAGTTTAATTTCTCCCGCATATGTGTGTTGTGAAGAAAAACATTGATGAAAAATTTACTGGAAAAAAACATCGTCGGCGACTATGCCTTTTTAGCCTTTAAACGATGCATGTCAATATCAAACTGTTTGCAGCAATAATAAGAGTAAAATCACTTCAACATGTAGTTAAATTTCAACAGGCATTGGAATTATTTTATTATACTTCTAGAATAAAATATTTTATAACGAAATATTTCATACAAATCGATTCAAGATCGATGGGAAACTAAATGGATTGATTGAAACCTCGGCAGCATTCTAGTACCATATTTGTCTTTTATATAGCTCATTTCTAGTAATTGAGGCTAAAATGAACAAATCTGCTCACAACACTAAATTGAATCAAAGAAAAAAGAAATAAAAATGTCCATTCTCTTATTGGAAAGAGGGTTGAATATTGATTGCATGCCTATAAAATGATACATGGGGTGTTATTTCGAACAGCAAAATTCCTAACCCCTCTGGAATGCGATTTGTGGGGAGAAATACAATTGTTGAACTCATCGTAAACATTCTCCGAAATCTCTGAACGGAAAACGTGATGAAAATGTAAAAAAACGGTGAGCTCGAAATTTTTGCTCTACCCTGCAAAATACGAGTTCAATATGATGAAAAAAAAAACACATTAAATAATCATGTACGGCAAATGTAACAGCAAGTATAATTAAGCACATAGAGTCAGAAAATCAGCCAACATGCAACATGAATTTACAAAGTCATTCATTATAAACAACGCACACTTTCTTTACATGAATATTTGTGAAAGAATAGCAGATGGAACAATTATTGAAATCTTGCATCAGAAGATTCAGACGTAAAAAATTTCCTAAAATAATATCAAAGTTTCGAAGGGTTTTTATAGCACGAGAGCTTCTTATAATTTTCGAGGACATAATGAACGGGTTGGGGAAAGTGCAGGTGCAGGATATAGGCGTTATTGCCTTAGCAATATTCTGTACCTTCTACAACCAGAATACTACACTCGATTGTATAAAACTCGCTAAATGTTAATTTCAAAATCATTCATCGAAAATAAATTCGATCCTATTTCTTTTCGTTCATTTCACATCTTGTAGATAATTTTATATTCGAAATACAATTAAATGAGATATGTACATGTGAGATATCAGGGAGACTATTGTAAAAATCAATTGCATTCTGTGTGTAAATTTATACATTAAAATTATCAGGAATGACGAGCCAATGATAATTAATGATTGGTATCCCTGAAATGACTTTTCGAAACCGATAAACTTCAATTCTATCTATGCGGGAGCCAGAAAATGCGATGATTGAAAATCACGACGCTCATTCAATGTTTAATGCACACATTTTGAAAAAAATGTTTTCAAACCTATTCGTGTACTATGTCATTAGTACCAATACTTGAATTTCCATATAAGATCCAACTTATTATTAAATTCAACATTACCACGTTACACTGACCCGAATATTTTTACGGGAGCTATTAATTGGAGCAAATTGGATGGATAATGCAAGCATGGGAAAATTGTCAAAATCTTTCAGAGTCATGGATCATACCGATTATAATTTTCCGAAATATTCAAGGCGATCGGATTTAACCACAATGACGGGAGAGTAACAAGCTACACAACGAGTAGGCAAACAACTTCCTTTTTACCTCACCTCAGACCGTCAGCGTAAAAAACTACGGCGACCGCAGCTTTTACATGTACCCTCGCTTGAAGAATTGAACCGAGCTCAAGAGTTAGTAGATTTAACTGGTGTTTAGAATATTGTGCAATATTTCAAATCTTTTTACAGGTTGTTTTAAAATACAAGGTACGTTATTGAACATGTGTATTACACATATAAGCAACCTAATTAATTGTATTATCTGAATTTCTACGAGTCTCAAAAAATATTTTTATAAGTAAAATGACTATAAGTTTTTAATTTTGCAGTCGAAGCAGAGTCTCAATAAACTGCCACCATATATCAAAATTTGGCATTCATTCAATCATCAGTGTGCGTGTATGTATCTCAATAAAACTAGGAAACATAGAATTGATCATATACAATTCATTTGCCACACCGAGTGCTGAATGCAATTCAGAAACAGTAATAGTAAACAATTCCATACATTACCAATATTAACTTCACCTACTCACCTGAAGAAACACATTCATCATTTGTTGATGAAATTTAAAAAACGCTGAAAGTTATCGCCTCGGCTGTACCTGAAGTGTCGTCAGTGTTGGGCTCCTAGAACATAACGTACAAAAGACGCTTCTCACGCACCAGCCATGCGCCACCACGCAGGTATACGCGATCGCTGCACCTTGTCTGAACGCACACCGGACATTTTTTACCTTGTCCGCATTGTGACGAAAGTTTGGAAACATGAGGTATTTTATGAAATTTCATAAAAGCAGATTTGAGGCGGCCTCTCCCACGCTCTCTTTGCTAATTGTGTCCAAGCCAACCATGAGCATGTATCCTCTTTATGGATTTTTTATCCGATATTTTGTAATGCACGTGATGGCATTTCCATCGACTCCCCACATCCAAGTGCACAGGCATCTTTAAAATCTATGAACAGGTCCAGGGAAATTCTATTGTGCATTTCTCGGTGGTTTTACGGAAATTTGATCGATTGTTGAACATAGCTTATGAGGAGTTGAGTTATGCTTGTAGCTGCGGGTCTCCGCTTGAATAGGAATTACTTGTTATTAAGTTAGTCATCGATTAGGTCTGATTGATAAATTGGTATAGCATTGACATTGGTCTGAATGAACGAAAACGTGTCAAGAATAACTAGTGATTGAGAATGTACAACTAAGTAAAATTAATGTGTTGAAAAGTGAATACCTGTATAGTTTGTTTACATTCCTGCATGAGGAACTGGCATTGGCATTGCTGCGTTATTCCACATGAGCGCAGGCTATAACTTATTGAGAAAAATGTTGTTTCACTAATTAGAAAAATATCGCTGCAAAAATACTGATGAAGCGCATTTGAATTATTATTTGAAGCTTGGGAGAGTGAAACATTCAAGATTAGTAAATGATCGTATTGTAATTAATTAACTGCACCTTTGAATTATTTTGTTCATATAATGTTTCATGATTGCGATTGCAAGTTTATTTTAAGAATATTTCCAAGCTTTGACTTCGTAATTTAAACAACTAATTAACCCGCGATAACTTTCACAACCGAGCATGTGCTGCTATATCAACTAAAGAGAAATTTGAAATCTTAATCAATGGAACCAAGCCCATTGGTTTGTAAATGGATACCCAATCGCCGTTTACATGAATACTGCAGGGCCGCAGCGAAATGAAATAAAAAATGAAATAACATAAAAATACGCAAAAAACGCTCCTGCCGTCGAGCTTAAGTGGCCAGAAAAAAATGTTCTGAAATTTAACAAAACAGAGCCAAAATATCGGGAATATTTCCGAAATACTTTGGTGCTTATGTTGGGGATTCATTGAGAGAAAGGCAAACAAAATTATCGTGCACACGGAAAAGGGGAAAAGAACTAAGGGTATTTTTTGCGATGAACCTTCTTCTTGTGGAATCTGATCGTCCAGAAAACCGCCGTTATTTAATATTTTCTTTGGCAGGTGCGTCACTTAATAATACAGGATCGCCGCGTAGTTGAACTCGCAGTAAGATATCACTTGCGATGGAAAGAGAGCGGTTATAGACCATCAATAATTAGAATAGTTGATCATTCACCGCAGTAGAACAAAAACAAACCCAATATTTAATTCAGTACAATAAAACACTTTCAGAAGTTAAAGTCGCACCTCTCGACTGTAGGCAGATAAGAAGAGATTGTTATGTTAGTCAGCGTACACTTCAGGCTTCGTGTCTCTGACTTTGGATATTCATTTGAATTAGAAATACATATTTCACACAAGAAAATGCTAAGTGAGAATGTCTAAGTACAGGTATGATAATTTTTTAAATTTTTTGGGAAAAACGCGTCGCAATTGATCCGGTATATATATGTTTCTTTTTTATGTGGTCAACAATTTTTTGCAAACATTCAAAAGAATGCCAGCTGCTGAATAGAATAAGTAAACGGTATATATTTTTCATAGAAAAAACTAAGCCATTCATTAACATTTTGCAGGTTTTAATGCGAATTCACCCGGTAATTTATTCCGTTTAACAACTACAAACGGTGTCGTGTG